ACGTATGATAACCATTGATTTACCACGTTGATACAACACATATATATGTGATATATATCTAATTTACCATTGATATACTACTGATATAACTATGGTATCTACTGATATAACTTTTTATATGATTATATGATTTACCACCTAATATAACACTGATATATATTTGATATATACTTAATATGCTTCTAATTTACTATGTATATACCTCTGATATAACCATTATATCTACTAATATAACTATGATACATGTGTGTTGATATAATACTATTATATCCAATATTTCTTTCAGATAAAAAAAATGGTGCAAAATTTTTTTTTTTAATTTTTGAAATATAAAATTATCATATAAAAGATTTACATGGACCATGCACGTCCAAAAAGACAAGTTAAAATTTTGATATACTTTATAAATTTAAACAGTTGATATCCCTTATATTTAGTATCTAATTAATATTAATATTGAATAAAATAGTAATGATATAGTAATCAACATTATTGATAATATTGGTATATTAATCAACAAATTGAAATGGTAAACTAAATTTAAACAGCTGATATAATACTAAAAATTAAACATTTGATATACCTTATATTTAGTATATCGTAAATTAGAAATACATCAAATATATATATATATTATATGTATAATATGTACATTTGATGTATATCAGTGGTATATCTGATAATGTATATCATGGGTACATCTGATACTGTATTTTGGTGGTACATTGAATGTATATCGGAAGTATATCAAAGTTACATCAGATGTACATTAAATATAAATTGGAGGTATATCATATACAAGTTTACATCGGATTTATAGCATATATAGATTTGATGTATGTGTTGGGTACATTAAATATAATGTTCTGGAAATAATCTAAAGGGTCTATAGTATATGGATAAGGCTGGGTGCTTTATCCTGACAACACTATGGATACGGCCCACTTTGTAAATGTTACAGACGACTAGATCCAGGTCATTCGTGTGGAGACATGCGAGTGGGGGTATCCTATATAATGACTTTGTATAAGACCGGACCGCGAAATAGTCAATCTTTAGATGTAACACCATTAACTATCAGATTGCTATTTCTTAGGATGATTAGGCAACTCATTCTCAATCCTGAGTGAGTTATGGACTCCTGCCCGTGAGGACTCGTCCTTCGATATGTATGGGTGAGAGTGGCCCGAGTCGCCGACTCAACATTCCTACCATTTTGGGGACGAGACCGAGTGGGGAGTTGGGAACATAACTTCATAAGATGGAATTCACTCCTCCCTGACCTTAGGGGAGTAGATAAGTGTTCTCTTAAATGCTGACTCTGGGACTTGAACAAGATGCTTCACCCTCTCATTGGCTCAAGAGGGACTTCTGATTATTGGTCGGACCATAACCGGGTTGTTCATTAGAGGAGCAGTGGTATTTAAGGAGCAAGTTGTAACTTAGGGGTAAAACGGTAATTTGACCCAACTTGAGTTATGAGCACTCGTGAAGGATTGACTTGCCATTAATGGTTGTATATCCGTGGACACCAAAATATAATGTAGTGAGAAGAGTGCAGCTGCGAGTCTTTAGTGGAGTGACCCGTAGTTACGAATGTTGATTAACTCGGTCAATGAGTTTGACTACTTAATCTCATATCGTTGGAACTTCTGTTCTGTAGGTCCATTAAGTCCCCTGCTAGCTCATAACTAGTAAAACAAGGATCAAGTTTTTAGAAGAATTTGAACTGTTCAAATTACTCAAGGGAATGTATGTATATTGATACAATATAATATATAGTTAATTCTAAATTAAAACTATATATTATGAGAAAGATTATTTGAATGAGATTCAAATAAAAATTAATATGAGTAAGATTTATATTAAAACTATAGGTTAAAAATAATGTGCATAAGATGGACATTACGACTATATGTTATACGAGAGAGATACATTTGAATAAGATTCAAATATATGGGTTTAATTAAATAGGTGAGATTTAATTAAATTTTAAATAATTAATTGTTAATTATTTATTTAATTAATATTAGATTTAATTAATTAATTATTAATTATATTAATAATTATTAATTATATTAATAATTAATAATTAAATTTATTTTATTAATAATTAAATTAATTAATTAATTATTAATTAGATTAATAATTATATTAATTAATTATTAAGTTTAATTAAAAACTCCCCGCCAAAATTCAGAGGAGCGGGAAGTTGTGACGTGGGGAGTTATCCTACGTCACTTTTGTTTAAACTGTACAGAATAGTTCTGTATAGTAGTTCTTCCCCTGCAAGAGCAAGAATTCTCTTTCAATCAAGCTCTCTCTCTCAATTCTCCCTCTTGTTCCAAATCAAAGCTCCCACAAGCACGATCTCGTACCCAGAGGATAGCACGAAAGATTATTTGGTGGTATTCGGGAGATTGAATCGTTGAAGAACAGTTCTTCAAATGTAAGTTTTCCCTGTATTTCTTATTTTTGCACATTTGATTTTGTTTCTAAAAGATTAATGATCGATGATCCACTTCCACTCCGAGATTCACATCACATCAGTATGATATACATCAAATGTATATCAGATATAAATTGGATGTATATAAGATATAGATATACAACTAAAATAATAAAAATTCTAAAAATAAAAATTCAAATATTTTGCTATATTTGAAAATTTGAAAAGCTGATGACATTTTTTTAAATACATCAAATATTTTTGCTATCCACTACAATAACCCTTTTATTTTTTATTTTTTTGTTGTAACATATCACTCTTATTTTTCTATCTCAAAATTTAATATTTTCTTGAATTTTTCTCTTTCTTAAATTTTACATTTTATAATTTTTTCTCTCTTTCTATTCTATTTTTGCTCGGAAAAATATATACCCAGCTTTTCTCTATCTAAATTTGCTTTCATTCAATTTTCTTTTACTATAACTTTTATTGTCTTTTATATTTCGAATCTTGTTTTTTTTCTAAATTTTTTTCTCAATATAATTTTTTTTTTCATTCTTATTTTTATTTCTCTCTCTAATATATATCTTACTCTCAACTTTGCTATTTTTTTTCTAAACTTTTTCTCTTTTTGTTTTTAACTTTTCTCTCACTACTTTTTTTTCTCTAATATATATCCCAACGACAGATCGAGCGAATCGGGGCTCGGTCTTGACCCGGGCGGAGCCCACTTTCTCTCCTCTCCCATTGGTTGAGGTGCCATGGTCCATGAATCCCTGATCCAGTGACGACGTATATATATGCTCAACGAGAAGGTTCCAGAATGCAAGACTCCTATAAATGGAACCACTGGCTGAACCCTAGAGGTAAGCAAAGAAACCCTAAGTATTTCACTTAGTAATTCTCATCACTGACTTAAGCATCGGAGCCAGTGTGACTGAAGTAACACCGGGTTAGGGTTGTTCAATTTTACAGGTATCCGGTCCCGTGATTATCGAGTTTGGTGCACATTTGGCAAGAACCAAGGAGGCCAAATTTCCAGTGTCAATAATTGGTGCCGTCTGTGGGAAAGATATAAACCATGCGATCGAGCAACATGAATATGGAGGAAAGTCCACGACGCTCTGATGAGAATTGGCCTCCGAAGAGGAAGCTGAACATGGATGATCCCCTGCTAAGAGGAGTTGAAGATGAGACGAGCCTGCAGATTGTCGAACAAACTCCTAAAGAGAATGATCGACAAGTTCTAGAACGTATAGAGGGGCCGATCGAGATCCCTGCGGTTGAAGTTCTTGGGCAGATCGAGGGCAAGTTCATGGCTCTAGAAGAGAAGGTTGAGGGAATGTATCAATGCATGTCCCGACTATTCTAGCAATTGGAACAACGAGAAGTGAACCCGCAACACCTTTTCAGGGATCCTCGGAAGGGTAAAGCCCCAAGTTGAGCGAGGTAGAGGAATCGACTGCAAACGCCCAGAGCAAGTTGAAAAATTATAAGGAGTAACAAGCGGCGTACCAGAATTTTC